TGACTTCCTCTGAAGCCATAAACACCAAAACAACAACTTTACAAAGTCAGTCAAGTTTAGCAGTTTCTGCAGCAGAAGTGGAGAAAACTACAGACAAAAACATCGCTACTACACCACAAGAAAAGGAAGATATAGAACCAAAACCTGTTTCTGATGTATTGAGTAGTGGCATTAAAATTGTCGAAAATAACAATGAGGAAATTGTGGAGGATGAAAAAGAAAATAAAGAACAAAGCAATTTACTGAGTGAAGGAAAGTCAATAGAGAATGAAGGTACATGTAAGATGTTAACCCTTTTACTCCCTTGAGTGACCAAGACAGAATTTCTCCTTACAGTATCAAGACATATTGAGGAGACAAGTGATGAGAATAAAGAGAAATATCTATTACAGGATTATTAGTTGATCCAATTAATAATTCTCCAAAATAGCATCATGCTAAATGAATGGCAGACTGTAATGAGAATTACAGACATCTTGGGAGTGAAAGATTAATTACAATATAAACTTGAAAAGTTGTGGGCAGAGGAGCTAAAATATTTTTCTCTGAGTATGTGTGATGCATGAACATTTACAACTGCTGGGATATTGCTACGTGACTTGTATGATTTTCCAAATGGGGTTATGATTACAAATTACAATTACAGGTACATCTACATCAAAAAATTCTGAAGTGCAAATTAAAGTTACTTTAGCATTCAACATGACATGTACTTAACATGTGTACAATTTTATCTCAGGGAAATGATTTATTAATTCACCTTTATGTACAGTTTTCTTGTGTGTTGATCTCAAGAACTTTAAAAAAAGCTCTTATTTGTTTCTTGGGGGAAGACAGTTAAGTTTCATTTGTCAAAGTACACAAGGATTGTTATGCTTTTCTGTTCTCCTGTAGAATCCAATTGTTTGGCTGGCTGTGTTTTCGTAATAGCAGATTATCCAGACCGCATGGAACATGCTATTCTTAATACATGGATTGAGGTAAAATGATTCCTCCATGTTTGTTATTTTCAGAGAAGAAAATTTAATGTTAACACAAGACTTTCAATCCAAAGTTCAGTCTTGTTCATAAACAGAATGTTAATACATGTAGCTCTGAGGTCATGAACCCTTCATGTTTCACTGTATACCCTAAAGCAATGAGAAGCTAAATTTTTGATCAAAGATAGCACTAGACCTTGGCAAAGATACATGTACTGTTTGTTGATGTACACAATTATGAGAAATGGATTTCTAAGGCAGTGTTATAATTTCTCTATTTGTATAGGTAATACAACAACATGGAGGCAAAGTTAGCCATTTCTATTCAAAACAATCAACACATTTGCTTTGTCTCAATCAGCATGGAGATCTTTATCAAAAGGTAAGACTTTGTACTTGACTAGAATTGATTTTTTGCTGATGTGTGAAGGTGAACATTTTTCCAAGTTTCATCATGATGATAGATGCAGCTTATAACTGATTTGGTTAACTAGAGACAGACCGACCAAAAATAATTTCTTATCTTTATTGTGTTGCACTCCATTCAGGGAGATTTGAGTGGCATTAATAATTATTATGACTTTGAAGTAATAGATAAGCCAATATTAAATTTTAGTAAGTGAATTCTTTAATTAAATGATGTGTAATGTATTGGTGTTTAGGCAATTTCAGATGGAAAACGGATAATCACAGCCCACTGGTTGAATGATGTGCTGACAGAAAAAGTGATGTTTCCACCATCAAATCCACTTCATCTTCCTTTGCCATTCAAAGATAAAGTAAACCAGTGCAGGAGTATGGTAAGTAATTATTTTTAGTGT